TAAACCCATATTTTTGGGGGGCCAAAAAACAGAGCGTAAAACACAAATTAGTTTCTCTGATAAAGCATCACACAGAGGAGCTACAATCCTCCCCCAGGGAATACTTTTAAATTTGTTAATTAAGATTTTCTTCTTGGTTGGTTTAGGTCTTTTCCTCAATCCTTTCTTTTTTCTTCCCATCTGAAATTCCTCTCCTCTTCCATGCTTTATGCCCTTCAGTCTCCTCTGCTGCTATTGCTATCCATTTTGTATTTCACTTTCTTCTTGCTTTGGCATTTTTTCTTCTGACTGTATCCCCCCTTCTCTACAACTTCCTCAGCACCCTCCTAGCAGTGTTTTCATTCATAAAGGTCCAGTTTCACATATTTTTTTTTCCTTCAAGCACTCTTACTTTGTCGGGTTTTTTCCTTTGTTTCTCTCAATCCTGTCATGCAGGTGTACTGAGACATCACCCCTCATTCGTGATTCCACAGAATTTCACTGTGTTCCTATACACAGACACACCAAAATCTCAAATATCTGCACAAGCAGTTATTTTACAGTTATGGTAGGAAAGCAGAGTTAACCATATCAGTTTCAATAAAATTAAGTAGGGTATTAGGCAAAGGGGCTAAGGAGTAAACAGAGATACAAAATTTTAAAGAGATTTTAAGAGAAAGATGTAAACAAGTAGTTCTTTCTGCCTTTTGTATATTTAATACTGTGTTTGCTTGTGTGAGACAGCGTGTGAATTCTGGTTTTACTGCTGTATCCTCAATCCTTTAAGTAAAAGCACTGTATCTATAAAATCAAATGAATAAAGAAAACACAGAAACGTGTATTTATTACATATTTTAAATAAGGTTGCTGAAGTTCTTATTTTTTCAGGACTTTCTAAAAATGTAACTGCAGACTGTAATGTTTTTTCTATTAATGAGGTTACAATTTTGTGAACCAGGATTAGTAATCTGCCAGGAAAAAAAGAAACTTCTGAATTACCTCATCTGGTTCCTGAAGTTAAAAAGTTTATAATAGCATTATGGTTAATTCATACTCTGCCTCAGGATGCATTAGCTGCACTAATTGGCAAGCAGTCCCAGAATGTTAATTGAACATTTCAAATACTTACAATAGGAATGTTTAAAAGGCATGGTTATCAAACAGTCAAATTAAAGTAATCTTATTTTCACCTCCTGCTTTGTCCTAGTCCAAACAGTTATAGAAAGAATAGCTCTTCATCTTCTCATCCCCACTTACTAGCACCACTGAGAAATTCAGACTACATACTGTACTGCCCACTGCTGGTTTGGTAAATGGGAGTTGGCACCGTAACAGTGGCGATGGCAGGTGCTGCCGTTTCCTCTTCAGACTTTTCTTCTTCGATCCTTGGCACTCCTGGGGCGTCTGAGGACAAGTCATTCAAAATTTTTCTGGCAAAGACAGTGTGTTGTAGAGATTTTAATAAAAATTGAAAAAAAAAAAAAGGTCTATTTGATACATAATGCTGGAGAAAACTGAAAAGTGCAGTAAGCCAGCAAGGAAAATACGGGTGCAGAATGAAAAACCCGCACTATCTTCAAACTTTTATTGGAGAGGATTGTTCAAAGTGCCGTGCACAGATGGGCAAGGGAGCCAGCACAGAACAGCTGTGCTTATCAACACAAGATACAGGTGCCTCTCAACAGGTTCTTCTCAACCCAAGATGCAGCTATCACAACTTTCCCTTTTTCTTAAAAACATGTTTCTTTCTCATCCATTTTTACCCGTTTCCTGCCTTTAGCCACATAAAGATTTGAAGAAAGCAAAAGTATGTAAAAGCCTATCTCTTCACTTACATCAGGGGAACTGCTCCGTTTCAGAGGCCGTGAAGGCCTCAGCCAGAGAGCTGAGTATAAAGGAAGTTAGCAGAAATGCTTGTAAAGAGCAACCAGTTTATAATCTAACACCTGCCTGGGAGACAATGCCCAGTGTTTGAGTGAAGTGATACAGTGATATTTACAGGTGCCCTGCCTGAGAAAGCTGTGAGATTAGCACGGGTAAAGGAAAAAACAGTTTGTTTAATTACTTCCATGGGTTAATTACCCAAAGCCAAAACTGCTAAAACATCACTGCTACAGGTCCCACTGAACATGACTGTAAGACTCACCACAGCAGTTACTGCAGTTTGCATCAGTGAGACTAAACACTGTCCCTCAGAGGACTGTCAAGCCCTTTTCACTGCTGGCATATTCTATGGCACTGCAAAATGCTACTTAGGTAAAGGACAACATTTTTTGTAATTCTCCTCATATGTTTTCCTGTGGAGTGTCACTAGAACTCAAAGTGTGATGAAGCAAACACAGCTGTAGACCCCAAGCTCCAAGACAACACTCATTTCTTAAATAGGGCTCCTAAGGCTTTGGGAGCCAAAACATCTGTGTGGAGCTATTTGGGGAGAGCAGTCACTCTGCTAAGCAACTTGACAAACAGAGCTTTGCTGTTGCTGTTTTGACTCTGTGCATGCAGGAACCCCGGCATTGCACAAGCACTCCACTAAGCCAAGCACCACTTGCACAAATAAAAAATTCCCATCCAGAGAGTTTGCAATCAGGTGTTAGACCAGAAAAACTAGTGGACAAAACAGATGAAAAAATAGAGAGAGAGCAGGGAGGATGAGAAACAAAACCCAAGAAGCTCAAAATAGAAGAAACTACAGCTCACCACTTTTTAAGCTCATGTCAGATATGATCTGGTGGTTAAAACCTACGTTTGCCATCATAAAGGTGGATTTAAGATAGAAGGTGAAGTGGCAGCTTTACAAGTATAGGAGCTATAAACCAACATGGGGAACACATGATGTACTCCAGTAGCAGGATCAAGGTGGAGTTTCTGAGGAAGAGGTATAGCTCTTCAATTCTGTGAACCTATCTGCACCTGTCTTGTCTCTGGGGCCAGTTACAGCAGCTTGAATAATGCCAACTGGGAACTCACTAAACACAGCTGTAGTCTGGCTCAGTCTTTCTGACATGGCCCCTACGCCGGCCCAGAGTCTGAGCTGCATATACAAGTTTTAAAATTACAAAGTTTTGCTGAGTCACCAGAATCTGGTTTGAGGACAGAGGCTGTGGTGTGGCATCAGTGCGTGCAAAGGAGTCCATCTCAATGAGAAGTTAGCACGCACAAGTCCCCTCTTCTCAGTTTTGCTGCTTGTTTACTTAGCTCTGTTGTCTCATGATATACAGCCATTCTTCCATATATAGTAAAAGCAAGTGTCTCACTGCAGAAGCAGACTGCAAGGAAGTCTGTGGCAGCCTTGAAGTTAGCAACACTGCTCCTCACAAATAAAAATATTTTCCCAGATCTATTATGGCTAGGGATTTTCAGCAATGACTTTCACTATCTTCAGCAGAACAGCCTTGAAGGCTGCTGGACAAGGTAGAAAATAATCTGCAAGTGCTAAAAAAAAAAAAAAAGGGTGAGATATGCTCAGGCTTAGAGTCTAGCTTATATTTCTAAGGCCATGCTCATAAAGAAAAAAGGAACATCTGAATTTCTGAAGCAGTAAGAATCCACAGGTCACTTAAATCCTGCACTTAATGCTATTTAGCATGTTTCAAGAATGAAAAGTGAGGTTTAGTACAGCCAGAAAAAGCCGTGCAAAGGCTTAATTAATAAAGTAACATATGACTAACACCATGTGAAGGAACACCTCAGTTGGTCTTACCGCAGAAGTATTTGCCATGACAACTAAAGATACTAGATGCCTATCACTACATTCAACTCATACCCTGACTTCTTAAATTTCAAACACAACCAATTTTGCTCAAGCAGAAATTCTCTCTGAGCCACAGATCACCACACGTTCATGGAAAGTCTCATGGGAGAAAGGAATTAAGTTTGATTGCTGCTAGCATTTCAACAATAATGAAAAACAATAGCGTTGATTTTTTGCAGACTGCAGATTACACAGAAGCCACTTTCTTGCAAAGCTTTAGTGTATTTCATGTATTTAGTATCCATTAAAACTATCTCTAAGGCACCTAGCACAATGATACCTCAATGTTTCACAAATTTGGCAATTAGCTTATGCTCAGCTCATTTCTGTCTTAACTGAGTGTAACAGCTGAGGTTTCTTCCTCCTCCTCCTATTTGCTTATCTCTTTACATCCTATTCCACGGACAGACATTGCAGAAGAGAGATTTCAGTTAAATGGTAAATCTAAAAATAACTATACAATCACACTTTTTGTCTCCCCACGTGAAGAATGCACCCATCAAGCAAAATGCTTTGGCTTTTAACCTCCTTACCTGTAGGAGGGTCGTCTGGAAAGAATTTCTCTTCTTTTCTGTGAGTCTGTGACACTGTCTACTGATTCCTGTGAATCTTCACTTTCTGCTATAGTGGAGATCTGTAAATAAGAACAGCAATCAAACTTAACAAGACACTTCCAATGTCTTTATTTTAAGGAAATGTTGACATCCTGCGAAAAACATTACAATGCAAGTATTCTACAGTGCTTCTACCTAGGCAATGAACAGAAAGGGCAGGCTGTTTAGTAACAGATCCAGTGAAGAATGACCATAGTCAGTTATCTACCTGTGAGAATGTCCTTTATAATTTAAAAACTCCAATACGAAAATATAAACAGTAATTCCATACACCTTTTGCTTTCCATGATTCCATGTTTCCATCCATTTTAAGGAAACAAAGAAAGATTTTTTAGTAAAATTGAGGGAGAGAAAAACTAAAACCAAATTAAGATAGCAGAAACATTTGGAAACAAAGAGCAAAATAGTGAAGTTGAAAAACGTTGATTTATAAATAATGGGCTAGATATGTTACAGAGAGACTGCCTTTTGGGGGGGGAAATTGTCAGGAAAATGTCATACATGAAGATGCTAAAAAATAATGCAGTGCTGCAATTCTGAACATCTGTGCTAAAAAAGGACAAAGATTTATGAAGGAAAGCTAAAATGTTTGTATCCATCATATTTCAATAATTTTAAATTTCAAGTGTGCAAAAAATGTAAAAACATCTCCAATACATAAAAACAGAGACTGTTTTCCAAAAGACTACAGTCATGTGACAAATATACAAAAGCTAACGATAGATAGTGAATAGAGAAATGTCTGCATGAGAAACATAGCTCACAACCTGACATTTTATGCACTGTAGGGAAGATTCCTAAAGGCTCAAAAAGCTTGCTGGCGCCCAAATCTCACAGTTATCAGATAGTGGGCCTGAATTGGTCCACGGCTGACTGTGAACCACAGGGCTTTGAATATCGCAGCATTCCAAACAGGTTCTGGCTTTGCACTGAGCCAGGTGAATTCCAAGCATGGTTTCATTGCCAGTCTCTTATCTTCCACCCCTGGGCTAGTAACTTGTGCACTTATCTGAAAACTGCTCACCTCTGATAGAGTAAAACTCTACACTTTTGACTCCAATAGCTGAGGAGGGTAGAGCCTGCCAGAAACCCAGCACTAAAGCTGACAAGGAGTAAACAAAGATTATTATCAGAATGACCTAGTTTTAAATTATGCATGCCTTATTATTTTTTAAAATAATACCCAGCTAAATATCTGTATCAACTAGTCACAATGTCTACTCTTCAAAATTAAACTTTTTTTGAGCTCAGTGTACTAATAGCAAAGGCATGATGTACAGTCCTTGCCCTGTGTAGCTGCTGGATGCCAAACAATTTCTCTTTCTGCGTTCAGTAATACAGGCTTAAAGTTACAGGTTTTAAAGATTTCAGACTACTTGTCTCCTATGTCTTCAAGCTATCTCATCATACTGCATTATCTGTCTTGTTTTACAGAAGAGAAAATGCTAAGGCTTTACAAAGCAAACAACATTCAAGAGGCAAATTTTAAAACCATTTTTATTAGAGGACTGATACGTTTATTTTAAGGACTATTAACATACAGACATCTGTTTTGTAAACCAATGCAAATACTTTCTAAGCAGCAAAGACTCTCATCCCAGAATATCAGCCTCATTAATGACTAAAGGTTACATTATAAAAAAACCCCACCCCTTTTGTTCACTTCTGAATAGTATGAACTCTTACTTTATAAAGATGTATGAAAATACTGTAGAGAAAAAAGTAGACTAATATTGTAAGAAAAACCATGAAGCTGTTAAACTCACCAACCAAATTCTAGAGGGAAATGAAACTCAGCGACGTTTGAAAGTGAAAAGTGGTTAAACCAGAACAGGAAAAAAGTCACAGAGTAGCAAATACTGTACAGTTTTTGCCTTCAACACGCTCTTAAAGTTTATATAAGCAAAAACACAATCCAGGACACAAACGCATTAGAAACCAGTGAAGTGGCAGGAACATTCAAAAGGCCCAATTCATGTAATAGGAATTTTCTTCAGTCAGTACCTGAACTGTCTGGACCTGTGGAGACTGAATAACTGACGGCTGGGCAGCCTGAATTACTCCATGCACTTGAACCGTCTGCCCATTGGGCAGCTGAACTAAGGTCACCGTGGGCGCAGAAGACGTTGCGTGAGCTGCTGGCATAGATACCTGCAAAGAAGAGACAGTGAGCAGAAATTAGGTTATTGCAAAATCTTCTTATTTCACTACCAAGAACACTTTTTGGTGAAAGAATTGTCTCTTCTAGACTCCAGTTAGATGACCCAAATGTTTCAGCCTAATATAAAACCCCCTGAACTGCCTAAGCCCAACATCTGACCTACTTTACAAATTAATCTAATGCAGAATTTCTGCAGGCTCAGAACATCGCTTGTAAAACCACTGAAAAGAATGAGAAAAACACAACTGTCTCTATTTTGAGGTAACCTAATAAAAACACATTATTACCTTTCGCTTACTTCAGTTAGATATTGCTAGGACTTGGGTGTACTCCTACAGACACTGCTGAGTCAAAGGCAGAAACATATAGGAGTGGAGCTATTTTTGTTGTCACTCAAGAAAACGCAAAGTGTTTGCAGATGTAAGAAGTTAAAATTTCCTGGGAGTCATACCTTTCAGACTTTCTACAGACTAAACCATATTGAGTAGTTGGCAAAGTCCATTTAAATAAAGAAAACTGACCGTGTGTTCAGACAGAAAATCCATGGGTTTGCAGTGGAAACAAATGGTTTGTAGGCAGTTACTGTGATTCAGTGTAACGGGTCAACACAAACTCTAGTCTTAGAGTTATTTCTATGAGGAAAAATGGCCCACATTTTGAACCCTCAGTTCCTAAACACAACTTTGTTTCTCCAGCACAGACCTGTAGACATAGTGGCTACCCGACAGGGGTACGCTAACGACTTCAGCACAGTACGTTAGCACTGCGTGCACAGCCACGCACGTCCTGCGCAGCGGCTCAGGCTCCGAGGACAGCGATACCCACACAAAGCTGTTCATGTCACGCGGGGAAGTCTCACTCCGGCAGGTCACAAGAACTATTATGGGCGGCTGAAGGGCCATGCACCAAGGTTGCTATGTGGCTAGGCAGATGCCCTGGTGCACATCCAGTACTCAGCAGCTGTCTGGTGACACAACGCACGTGTTCACGCCTGGGGGGCTCCCGAAAAGCAGGAGGGTGCTAGGGCTGCCGTACCAGTGCACGCAGCCCTTGGTTCGCGCCTGACTCACACCATCGTAGCCCTCAGGGAAGGACTGCAGGCAAGCGTGAGCTGCTCTGGCAGACCTCAGCCAGGTCACGGGTCGCTGACTAGCCAGCCTTCTCCTAGACACCCAAGTTTGGAAAACTTAACAATCCTCCAGTGTTTAACGGCATTTTCAAGAAATTTCGATCCATGTAGCTACAATGAGAGAAAGGGCTGCACTGCCATCCTACCTAATCTCAAAGAGCTGCTATGTACCGAATGCAGAAGTAAATCCTCTGCTGTCCCCATGAACACATGGTTCTCAAAAAACTGCAGTAGCTGATCGCTGAATTTCCGTAAACATCCGCGACTTACAAGGAAATCTTGCTTAATAACAAAGTTAAGGGGAATTACATGTAGACCCCTCTCCTCCACAGCTGTCTCTCCCTAATCCACAAATTTGTGTTTGCCTTTACCTTCCTTTTTTATGAAAACGGCTGCAGCATTACATGGCAGTACTTAACTCACATCTGAGAGAAACTGGGGCTGAGATTAACATGAGCATACTTTCCTCTGGCAAATTATATTCCTTCACCAAGAGACCTTTTTTAATAATGCATGTCTGACTAAACAGTCCTTGGCAATGACAGCAAAGCTGATCAACCGGAGGCCACTCTGTGGTTGGATTAAGCCAACAGCAGAGTGTAACTTCCGCAGATGTCTCTGACTCATACCTTGTGGAACTAGAACGAGTTTCCTTTTGACTCTGAAAACTACCGTGAACTCACTAAAAACGCAGCAATTAAACTAAGCTTACAAGAGGGGTGACCTTACAAGAGATAATGAAAGAATTAAATTGACATAATTAGTTATTTAGATTTGCCTAAGCCTCTGAGGGCACTCCCTAATGCCAAACACTGCCACTTCACATATTAAAAATATCATAATAACATAACATTGATGTGAAGAAGACAAGGAATTATGTTTAGACTGTTATATCACCTCCACAAGGAATATAAAGCCTGGGGAAAAGCTAAGGTGCAAACAATACAGTGAATGACAACAGAGGAAATTAGGAAAAATATTTCTTTGTGGTTCACATGGATTTTAACCATAGCTGTATAGCTTTTTCTTACTTGGAAAAAATTCTCATTCAAGTACTGGAGTAATTTTGCCCAAGTAAAGTGCATTCAACCCACTACATATATCTGTAAGTTCAGCTACCTGGAGGTTAGTATGTTAGCACACGATTTTAAAACATTCTTGCTTCTCTGGACTAAATCTTAATGCATACCAAGTGAGAAGCAGTTCACTGGTTTTGCAAGAGAAATAAACTATTTCCACTCCGCTCACACTGAAGTGTTATTCACACCACCTACATCCTGTGCCTAAGTTAGACAGTGAGAAAACTGCCCAAAGAGGCAAGCTGGTGCAGGGCAGCTGGTGTCCTGTAAATTCACACTACAGCTTCACTGAACAAAATCACCCTGTGCATTTCAACAGCTCCAATCCCTATGCTATCACTTGAATGGAAGTGTACTATCTCTGGTTTACCAAAAGGTGTAATGACTTTAAAAAGACATTAATCATTTATAAAATGGTAAGTGATTTAACACTTGTGCCACTTAAAAGACACTCAATTCCCCAAACTAGAAGATCTAAAAAACCTGTTTGTTCTTTGCAGACTGCAAATAGTTTTAAATGGTTTTAAATGGGTTTGAATGGTTACAGAAGAGAGCTGAACAGATTCTGTACTCATTTACACAATGGAGTTGCTTCTGTCAAACAGTGTATCCAAGAATGAAACCGGGTTCCAAAATTAGTGATGTAGCTGGGATCACATTTCTTGTCTCTCCAAAACAATTTGGGGATAATAAATGATCTACTACTGTCTCTCTAAACAGCCAACAATTCTGTGAAATTCTGGAGACAACAGGATAACATGAGCTGTCAAATGCCAGGTTGTTCCACTTGACTATAATGTTTATAATATTAATCCCATCTGATAAGATGTTGTGTTTGCTGCATTATTTATCTATATTTTCAGTTTGTTTTCTTCAGAATTAAACTGACTGCTATAGACAAGTTTCTAACAGAAAACATAACAGCAAAACAATCCATTCAATATAAAAAAGACAGTAAATTACATGTTTTGAAAAAAATACCTTTCAGTGGTATGGTTGTGGTAAAGAATGCTAGAAATATTTTAATTCATTATTCTGTTAACATTACACAGTTTACACACATACAGTTCTTCAGAAGTAACACAGCCTAGTGTGATGGGAAATTGAAAATCTCTACTGCTTTAAAAATGTGAAGACAAGTATTAAAGCAACTATACATCGCACCTGTTTCAGAATCATATCAATGGAACCTTCTCTCGGGCCCATGAGCAGACATTATCCCTCTTAAAAAAATTATCCAATAGGTAAAACTATTACACCATATGATTTTATACCTGGGCTAACGTTGCAATCTGTGGTTGTGCCTGTACTGTCATCTGTTGGGTTTCTGCCTCTGTAACGGCTGCATCTCCACTCTGCTGGTTCTCTGCTCCAGATTCCATGGTCATTTAGTTACCTACAATCACAATATTTGTCGTAAGTCTGGGTTGGTATGCAAGTCCATTATTCTTGGTGGATCTGGTAGCAATCGCTGCAGCTGAATTCCCATTACTACATACTGTTTTCATTTGCTCATTAAAATGTTGCCAAACTATTAGCATTCAGGCAAATTTTTTTCATGCCAGGTGTCTGCCTCAGGTTGATTTTTCTGTGTGTAATGTTTCTGAAAAACAGGTCCAGTCTCCTCCAATAACGAGATGAGAAAAAATGCGTTTTGCTCATCTTAAAAAAATTGCTTGAGCAATTGCACTATGATGACCTAGTACCTCCGCAATTTGGAATAACGACCGGCCCTCTGTCAGGAAGGGCACTCCCTCAATGCCGAGGTGACAATATGCCCTGCTACGGCCCTCCCTCTCCCCCGCAACTGCAGTTTGCAGATAACCCACAGCAACTGCTTCTGTGTTGGGCACTTGGTTTTCAGCCTTCTTCTGTCTGAACTAAATACGCAACATCTCCACACAAATCCTTTCCACAACCAGACTGTGTATGGCCCTACGTCACAGTAACTTAGTCTTTGCTACTTGGTACTTTTAAAGTCAGTATACATAACAATGGAAGCCATTTCTACTTGAACCTTACTGCAAATAAACATTGTTATATTTAGAGGTACATAGTAGTTTGTCATGACCTAAGTTTTGTATCATATATAGCTCCTAATACACTTATATTTCTAAGCAGTAACTGAGCAAGCCTAGATCACCAGAATACACAAGTCTATAAAAAGAGGTTGCATAACTTCCAAAACCGTGCACGTAGGCAGAGTGCAATGAATGTTAAATTCTGCACTGATCTGTGAAAATTACTTTTCAGTTCTTCTTTAAATACTGATATGAAAATATTTAATATATAAAAATGAACTTCAAAATACAAGGAAACACTCCCAATGGTGATATAGCAATACCACTGTTTTATACAGAACTCCAAATACCAAATATTAAGAAGGGATATTACCTCCATAGCCACAATACTAATTCTGTGGACCACCCTGTGCTGCCCAATCTACTCAGGCCTCTGGCTACCCTAAGGCAGCACACCTCTCCCCAGAGCTGGAGCAAAACAACCAGGAGAGCATTTCTGCTTTGGGAAAGGGCCTGGAGGCAGAGGATGCTCAGATCAGAAGAAAGGTGGAAAGAAGGAGAAATGCTCCTCTCCTTGCTCAACTTTACTGGCCCCCCGAGGAAAAGACTTAGAAGTGTCAATACAGGTGGTGGTACCATGACGCACATTCAAGACGTTTCATTTTAAACACAAAGTCAGGGAAACTTCCATTTCAATGCAAACTATACTTGCGTCTTACAGGAAAGAGAACGCTCTTTGGAGACGTGTTGCCTAAAGCAGCAGAGTCCCACTTCAACCCTGAGTGTAATATGAAATTTCTGTCTTACAGTAAACGATTGCTAATCAACAAAGATAAAACAGCATTTCAAAGTAGTAGCTGCATCTCACATCAAAAGAAAGCAAGTCAATGTATATAAATAAAAATCTGTATATTTAGTATTGAAAGTGACTGTTCAAATGAGCTTGTGTGTGTGTGTGTGTGAACACTGAAATGTTTAAGTACCAAATATTTAGTTCCAACATCATTTTAGAAACTCTTAGGAAATGAAAAGAAGGAAAAGAATTAAACCTGATTTTCCTTGAAAACAAACAATGAAAGAAAACTTACAAATATTTGGAAAAAGCAAATTAAATTCTTCTAAACACCTGAAATTTTGTTATGCCTCTCCCTGTTGCCATGATTTTTGTCCCACATAAACCAGGTATTAGCCCGACAAATGCTCACAGATAAATAATACTCTATTTATATGTATATACTGGTAAACTGGCCATGAAAGAAAGTAGTTGTAAACTCACTGCATTTTAAGTAGTCTAGACGTTACAATTTTTGTAAGAATTTCAAGAATAGCCTGTGTCCATGCAAATATAATAACCCCTCTCTTTCCTACAGTACCAAGTCTTCTCCATGTTGCATTTCATCTTCCAGAAAACACAAAAGAAAACCCATGCACTATTAGTATTTGTAATATACATTACCGAACAGTTCCTAAAGACTTCATTAATGACAACAGCTTAAGTGGTTTTCTATCCCAACTTTAGCACACAAGTTATATTTTAACAGTCTTAGTCCTCCATTTATATGCCCAATTTTTTTTTGAGTATCCTGCATTTTCAAAAGTGCAAACTGCAAATTAGATTACCCTAGGTTTCCCTTTGATTTTTATAATTTTTACGGAGGTATCTAGTTTTATCATTTTTTTGCGAGTATCAGCCAGTTTGTCCAAGCTAAGCAAATGAACAACTTTCTCCCAATTCCTATGCATGTATCATGGTGACTCCAGCCAAAAGACTACCTCATTGGAACCATTTTCAGGAGCACAACTTCTGCATCAGCAACATCTCCCAGCCAAGTACCTGAAAAGAACTTGAAAAAACTATTTCCCAGCTACAAATTCAAGTATGTTGCAAAACTAATAATGCTTTTGTTTGCTGATAGAAATCGTGACTCCAGTATGGAGTCAATTGCTATACAAATGGGATTAGAAATAGATGAAATGTGCAAGTGAGGAGTCTCTTGAACCAGGTATTTAGCAATGTTCGCAAAGGTAGATGTTGCCAAATTCAAAATGTTTTCCTAGGAAGAATTTCCAATCCTCTCATACACTATTCAGCAAAGGACCTCTGGTTTTACAAGCTTGGTTTCTACACTTGCATCATCTTTTGCATGTCTAATCAGCACAAGCATTAACTGTTTGAGGTACTCCCTCCTCTACAACACCAATATTTCAGAATCAAATTCTTAATGTGACTTGCAAACACCTAAAAGGAACCTCCTCATAACATACAGTAAGCAACCAAGGAACGCAGGAAGCTGCCTGCAAGATTTGCATCTTGACACATGCAGTTTAAGTGAGTTTCCAACGTGACTTGTATTTTTTGGACAAGCTCTTAGTCTCATATTATTTGTACTCTTGCATTTGGTTCAATTTACCTTGCACTTATACATCACAGTATTTGTATTCTAACATCTTCACTACTACCTTTTACAATAACTTGTGAGAAAAAGAAGGAATCAGATTTTTGAGCATCACGATGTCATATTCCAGATACACTGACTACTGCATTGTTTCATGTACGGTATGATTAAGATTGCCAAGATATACAAGACCAGGCACCTAGAACATAAATACTTACTAAGCTGTGCGTAGGGATAAGACCACGATGGCTGAAATGAAGGTTGTCAATTCCTATTAGTTTTTGCAATTTACAAAGTAAGAAATGAGATGTTTGGTTTGAAACCATAACCTCTGCACACACACAAATGAATGCCAATCCTTACACATCCTTTTTCAGCTCTCATATATCCCTAGTCTAGACGACCTTTGCTGACCAGCACCCCGTGTCTTTCTGTTCTTGTGGGTGCTCAGACCCACCCCACCACCCCACCCTTTTGCTCCTCCTGCCCTGTTCGCAGTGGCACACTCCGCTCGCTGGCACTGATTTCCCCGGCAGCCACCACACCGTGACTTCTCGAATGGAGGCAGGGATCTGAAAGTGTCCTGGTGGGGAACAAGCGTCCGGGGCAGGGAAGGAATATGGGAGCACAGGGAGCACACTTTCTTCTCACTCCTCTGTTTCCAGGCTACTTTCCATCTTGCCAGGAGAGGACACACCCCCACTTTGAGAAGAAATTAGTAATTGCTGTAGTTCGTCTTGAACCAAGTATTCTAAATGAAACTAACTGAAAAAACGGTTAGCTATTAACAACCACAGTCGGAAAACCAGAGTCTACTTGCCTAAAACACCCCGGCTATGAACTCTGAACACAGGTTAAGAAAGCTGATGAGATTACCTGGTTAGAGACAGTTTAACCCGTGACTTTTATGTAATACACAATTTTCTTTATTAGTTCAAAAGAGCTAGTATTATACTTACTAATACTTTCTTAATAACATACTTACTAATGATCTGAAACTCTGGAGGTGAAGAGCCAAACAGCGAAACATTCAGCTGACACCCAGTAATTTGTTTTAGCCAAATCAGGAGTGGGAGAAAGAAGTTCAGCAGAAGGTAACTACCTGCACTAGCTGAATTTACACCAGGACAGCAGAAGACGGATGCTAATAAACACAAACAGTTGCAGAATGCAGGGGAAACTGAACTACACACACTGTAGAAAAATCCAAATAAACCCGTCTCATTAGTTGCATAAACCTGGGAAAGGGGCCCGGGCACTACTGCAGATAGTTCACTTCACAGTTCTGCTTAACACGCGTCCATGACAAGAAAAGCTAAAGTGTTAGACTGCAATAGTAATAAGATACAGGGTAGTCTTTAAAAATTATATTTGTATAGATGGACCCTATACATCAGCTGGATTACAGTGCAAAGGTTGGGAGCCCATCTTAAAAATGGGTTCTGTGGAATTCGGGTGTTCAGGAAAAGCAAGCATTTGGGGCAACGAAAACCTGTTGTATGAAGAGACCGGACAGAATTGTATTATTTACCCCAGAAAGGAAAGAAATACTTCAAACACTAAAAAATATATTTAAATTAGTAACAGGGTAAGTAAACTAGAAATATTCACTGCCTGATTATAAGAACAGCGAAGCTAAAATGTGGCAAACTTAAAAATATAAAAATGAAAATTTAAAAATATCTATTAAAAAAATATGAAAATGGATACTTCATGTACTGCACAAATAAAGCACTGATGCTGCTGACAATAAGCAATTTATCAGGATTCAAACAGGGGTTAGACATGCACATGGATAACAAGAATATCCAAGAATATCCAGAATTAGTGTGGTTATTTCGTACCAAAAAAAAGTGCAGAACTGAAGGGAAGATAAAACCTCATGAATCAGGATTTCAATCAGTATCTCTAATCCTTAAAAATTCAAGTAACTATTTTCATGAGGGGGGAAGATTATGTCACATGTAATTC